AAAATGCTTTAAAGAAGTTATTGCACGAAGAAAGGTTAAAGAGATGATGCAAATAATAAAAGTAAAGATGAGGTGAAATAATTAGAAATCGAACTAAAAAAGAAAAAATGATGCTAAGCTACAAGCCACGGGATCAGATCAACTTATAAATGAAGCCTCAGACAGACTCAAAGGCACATTAAAAAAGGGTGACCTTGCAGAAGCCAAAATTGCTGAAGCATTGATTGAGGGATTTTTAACATCAGAAAAAGAACTAGAGAACAAGGAAAAAGAGGTGATCCAAATTCAAAACCAAATAGGCAAGAGGCAAAAAAGTTTAATAACAAACTTTTTTGCTAAGAGACCGAAAAAGAACAAACTGAATGTTTGATTTTTTTTAGGTTTAAGTTTTCGTTCAATGTTTTGTACCTGTTTCTGTTCCTAAAAAGTTTCTAATAAATTAATAGTTTAGTAGGCCATACCCTATCCAGGTCAAGTTCAACTTTTTTCTGTTTACTATAGTAGTATTTTCGTTAAAAATTTATTTCGAATAAAGCTGAATTTGACTTAACCGGCCATTTGGTACGGGATTATTACTAAAATAATATATTTGCAATTTGCACTAATATTTGATTAAAAAAACTTCATATTTTTTTAAAAAGTTCATATTTCAAAAAAAAAATCTTTATATTTTCATATTATTTCGTCCTGACCTGTTCCGGTCCCTGAGCATACCAAATGATAACTGGATGGTTCTGGTACGATATCAAGATTCACGGTTAGAACAAATCTAGTATCACCTCAATAATTGAATTCTGAAGACAAGTCTTCAAAAGTCAAGTTATCTTTGAAACTATTTCCTCAAAAACTTTCAGGCAAATGCTTTTCAAAGAACAGAATAGGTATTTCCCAGGCCAAGCTTCTCTGATGTGTGTACATGCTAATTGAGAGATGCTGATGGTGTAAATAAAGTAGCTTCTTCTTTAGGATGGCTTTCCTTTTCATAAAAACATTCAAACATTGATGCCAAATGCAACATTTTTTGTTAAAATTGTGCAAAATTTGGTTGGCTGTGAAGTTTTCAGTGGATAGAATACCAAAAAGCCAAAAGGGCATTTAACTGAATTGAATGTAAATGTATCGAACTACAAAACCCATGACACATGACTGAACCAGTCTTCTTATTGTTTACATACAAATGTTGAAAAAATTGATATTTCATGAAAATAAACCTGGAGCAATGCGATTTTCACGCTAATTGATTAGAAAAACCATATTTTTCCCTAAATACAAAGTCATGCTACATCTTCCACAGACACCCTAAATTGACCCCCTTTTAAACAAAATCTTTTAGAATTTATGTCATCATTAGTTTTTCGAAATGGCTGAAGACCACATAGTTTTGTGCATTTTTCGCATGAATAGAACCTAGTCTATCACACTATATCAGTGGTTTTACCCCTGTTTATATACCGAATTTCAAAAATAACCTATTTTCTAGACTATATGACCTAACCATATTACCCCCATCCTCTCACCATGAGAATAGTTATTCGTTCACGATCATTCAGACAATCCTTCGGACGATCCATTTTCCATTAGAAAAACTGAATGCTTTAAACAACAGAGTATCGAGGATGTTTTTAATGTGCATCGCCTGTATTTGTAAGACCCATCTTGTCGCCGCCCAGTTTTCTTAATTGAAAATGGATCGTCCGAGGGATCGTATGACGGACCATGAACGAATGACTATGATGAAAGGATGGGGGTAATATGGTTAGGTCATATAGTTTAATTCACAAAAATAGGTCATTTGATAAAATTTTATGGACTGACGAGTCACGTTTTGAAAGAACAGGGATATTCAATATCCATAATTTACATACTTGGGCTGTTGAAAACCCCCACCAGTCAAGGCCGTCGACATTTCAACACCGTTTTAGTGTGAACATGTGGTCAGGAATATTCAATATGGAATTTATCGGTCCATTTGAACTGCCGTCAAGGTTGGATTCGGTAGCCTACAAAAGCTTCCTTCAAAATAGCCTACCATTATTGCTGGAAGATTCAAGCCTGGAGGCCAGACGGAACATGGTGTTCCAGAATGATGGTGCACCATGCCACAACGCAACGATCGTGCGAAACTACTTAACGAAAGGTTCCCAGACAGATGGATCGGACGATGGCCTCCACGCTCCCCTGACCTCAACCCCATTGATTTTTTTGTTTGGGATATTTTAAAGACATAACATTCGCCCAAGAATGTGCAAATGAAAATTCATTGAGGAACAAAATTCAAGAAGCGACACATGTGTTGAAAAACAACACACAAGCATTTAGAGATTTAAAACAAAATTTCATACGTAGGTGTACACTGTGCATTTCTGTTAGAGGCAGACATTTGAAAACCTCTTGTAAATAACATAAATGAATAATAATCTGCTGTTCAGTAAAAATCAAACGTGTTTTTGTAGTTTTTGCAAATTTTTTTCCGAAACTAACAATTTCTATTGAGCAGAGGGTTATCCAATTTTGGGTTCGGTTCTATTTGAGCCACAATTACGGTAGCATGTAGTAAAGCT